GTTCCACAGCCCAATGCCCAACCCAACCTGGTCATAACCGATTAAACTGCTCTACAGAATCACGCACATTTTGCTAAGTGTGGCGGCCTCCATAATGTATTTTATAGGGGCTGCCTACAAATTTGAGTCTGAGGTGGCAACTCTCAGATTCAGACTTGGTCTCACTCTGCGTGTAGCCAGACAGGAAGCACGTCGACGAGGTTTTACTCTTACTCCCTATTCCAATAATTCCTACACCCTTTCCTATACCTATCCCTCTTATATCTTACTTTCCCACGTCTATCTCCTGCCTTAATCAGTCAAATTCCTTTGCCATTATAAATTTAGACACTCCAATCTCTACAGCAGCCCCAACACCTTCCCCTCTGCCCCCTTCCCCCGTACTACCCGCAGCACACACTCACTTCCACCTACCTTTGCCTCTACTCCTCAAACACCTCTCTCCTCTTCCCCCCTCATAAGAAAACCTTTGTCTCACAAAACTCTCCAACCAACTCCATTACAGAAACTCTTGAAGATATTTTGTTCGAGTCCCAAACTGACCCCGAAACCCCTGATCCACTCTCAAATTTCACAACTCCCATTCCCTCCGCATTCAAAGTGACTGCCGATATCAATCCTCCTCCTACTCATATTCCCCTTACACCCCTTCCTCCTACTCCCTCCCAACACAGCCCTTCCCCCCAGATCCAGCTCCACCTACATTAATCCTCCCTCCATGCCCTCTATCTCTTCCACTCCCTCTTGGATACACACATGAATCCCTTATGTCACAACTATGCCCTTCCCCAGATCCTCCACCTCCTGATACCTCTCTCATTCTTATCTCACCCCCTAGTTCCTTCCCCTTCAAATTATCCAACAAATGCTTAACTATAGTATAGATCTCCTACATTGGAATATTCGTAGTTTCCATTCTCATAAACCTGGACTTCGTCATATTTCTTCTTATTACCCATCCATCATATGCCTCCGGGAAACTTTTATTACACATCCTCCTGTACCAATTCCCAACTACTATTTTGTCTCTTCCTCACACTCCCTTTATGTCTCGTCTTTACTTACCCATCAGAAAACATCTTATGTCATACCTCCCTTCCAAACCACTGTCCCGCATCTTTCTTCGCCGTTGGAAATCAGTTATTTCAGTCCACTTCTCCCCTTTCCACCCCATTAACTTTGTTGCCTTTGAACCTCTAATTTCCCCAACTCAAACCACCTTTCCTCGTAGTTGGTGATTATAACTGCGGCCACATCCTTTGATTCTACTACCAACTCCCGTGGCCGATCCCGTGAACGCTTCCTCTCCACAACTGACCTCATTATTCGTAATTCAGATCGCCCTACACACTCTGACATACGCACGCAATCTTTTTCCTGCCTTGACCTCTCCCTATGCTCCCTTCTCTACAAACGAGGTATCTAAATCAACTGTCAGCTCTTATAGCTTTTATCATCTTTAAAGAGCATCTGCCTTCATCATGCAAGCCATAACAGTAAAACAAATAGCAGGTGAAATTATATTTCCTCAATTACATCTACATCTATTTCAACTGTTTGGCGTCGGATCCAAAAATTATCAGGCAAACATCCCTCCCATCCAGTGCCCGCCCTCCATATTCGAGATAATCTCATCTCTGATCCTGTCCAAGTCGCTAATAAACTGGTGAGTATTTCAGCTAGGTCAGTAGTGGTTCTCACCTTTCTCCCCTCTTCTCTTCTATCAAGACCATCAGGGAATGCACCCCCATTATCTTCACCCTATCCTATAATGCTCCTTTTTCTTCCTCTGAACTCAATGCTGCCGTACACTCATGAAGGCCCTGACGGCATTCACTACCGTATGCTCTGACTCCTTCCATCTTCTTCCCTATCCTTCTTACTTCTAACCACATATAGGCGTCAGGAAATTTTCCTTCTCTTTGGCGAGAAGCACTTATCCTCACCTTCCTGAAATCCAATATATTAGGTACCCTCCTTCAAGATCACCGCCCCATCGCTTTAACTCGCTACTTGTGCAAACTACTAGAGCGAATTGCTAACTTCCGCTTAAAGTTTGGTTTCCGCCGCGCCCGAAGTACAGCTGCCCCCCTTACTCATTTCGAGACATATATTACATCTGCATTTGCACGCTATGAATCAGTATCAGCCATATTCTTTGACCTAGAAAAAGCATACGATACTACATGGTGGTACCACATTCTCCAACAATAATCCTCTCTAGGCATATGGGTGTCTTTATAATGTCTTTCCTCTCCAAACGCACTTTCTAGGTCAAAATTGCCTCTTCCACATCATCATTTCCTCAGTTCGAACGTGTCCCGCAAGGCAGAGTGCTCAGCACCACTTTATTCCTTCTTGCCGTTAATCACATTGTCTCAGTTCCACCACCAGGAGTCCGATCATCACTATGTGTTGATGATTTTACCATCTTCGCCTCTGGCATATCTATACCAAATCTCCGCCAGTTCCTTCAGTCTGCAATATCATTAGTATCTTCCTGGGCCACTAACCATGGCTTCCGCTTTTCTACCTCCAAATCTTTCTCCATTCTTTTCTCTCTCGATGCCATATCTACTCCTCTGCCTCAGCCTCCCTCGTTGCTCATCTTGATACAATCCACCACTGCGGTCTTCGCTTAGCCCTAGGCGCCTTCCGCTCATCTCGAGTTGAGAGCCAGTACACTGAATCAGGCATACCATCTCTCTCTCGACGTTGTATCTTCTCTCCGATGCTATGATCGATTCCACCAAATTTCCCTCATGACAGATATGACAGCTATAGTGACGAGTAGAGAGGAGCAGTGAAGTATGGAGGTGGGGGAGAGTTTTGCGGTCGGAGCCGCAGCGGGTTTTCTCTTTGATGTAGAGGATGTGGTCTCGCCAGGAAAGCCTGGGGAGTGAAAGTGGAGAGGGGATTCATATAAAGAGAGTGGATATTGAGGGCCTAAAGCCTCCAGGCTAGTACAGTGGTAACGTGTCGGCCTCTCACCCGAGGGGTCGGCGGTTCGCGCCCCGCCCAGGCGCGAGAAGTTGCAATTGTCGCTTGGAGGTTACTGCTGTGGCTGGGCACCACGGTGGGTAAGGACTAAGCTCTGCCGAGTCAGCACCAGCTGACACACTGTTAGCGAGTCGACGTAAGTCGGCACAGGCCGGGCTCCCCCATAGCCCGGGCGAGGCTCAGCTTCGCATATCGGACTTATCTTGAAGTCTTATATATGATCGAGAAAAGAGAAATAATGTGTAAGTACACCAATTATGGGGCACCTTCATGTTGAGGAAAAGATGAGGAAGTTGAAGAGGCAAATTTGACTCGGAAAGGATGATTTGAAAAGTATGATTTAATGAATAGACCCATGTTCTCTTGTATGCCATGAGATGATAGCTGTTTCAGAATGTGGTGTCGCCATGGAGTGTCATATGCCTTTGCCAGGTCGAAGAAAACGGCCAATGCAGAGTATTGACATGCAATGGCAGATGTGATGTATTCTGATTGTGCGATGTAGAAATTGTAGAAAATGAAAGCTTATCAATGCATTTACAGAAAACGTGAATATGCAAAGCGGGACGGACTAAATCATTCAAATCCCGTGACGCTTCATCAAAAAAATCTCATCTTGGGGGTTCTACCGATAACTCTATGTAATTCTTCCTTTGATATGCCTTCTGTTACTTTTTTTTCTATTTCTTCTGTCATTTCTCTATTTTCATTATCCTGATATCTTAACGCTTTTAAACAGTGTCGTGCGTGCAATTTCTACTGATGAGTTATCACACATATCTGAGAAATAAAACAATGACCATCGCTTGGAGTATAAATATAAATTTAGACGTTTTTATCGCTAACTCAGATCTCCCCACACACCACCTACGTTAAAAAAATATATAAAGTCAGTTATCCCTCTTTTAGTATTCAAAGAAAACGAAACTCTAATTGTATTCAAAGAAAGCTTAATGTTTTTAGGGATAACATCTTCATTTCGCAATACTTTTCTAGTTTCTTTATAAATATGAATCAGTGCAACGCTGTTTGCCTAGAGCAAAGACAGAGAGAGAGAGAGAGAGAGAGAGAGAGAGAGAGAGAGAGAGAGAGAGAGAGAGAGAGAGAGAGAGAGAGAGAGAGAGAGAGAGAGAGAGAGAGAGAGAGAGAGAGAGAGAGATACAGATGGCTCCACATGTGCTCAGCCGGCAAGAAGTCTATCAGTAGGCCCTAGTTACCGATCCTGATTTTCCCATTCCTTGAATTGGCAGGGAAATGTGTTTTTCTCATTAATACCATTGTTATCGATACTGTTATTATTGTTATTGATGTTATGTTTATTAAATTATCAATTAAATATTTTAGACAATGAAATTATACCAAAGACCCTTTCCTAAAGTGAAGGAAAAGGGTAAACAGGTGAGATAGGTAGTTCTGACAACTGACTATTTGGTGATTAAGAACTTGTAGAGCTATCTATGTGTAAATACAATAAATAAAAGTGTATTACGGTGGACATGGCATCTATTATTGCCAAATGCAGCGAAAGGGTTAAGATTTTATTCACTTATGGTTTTGGATCTTTCCTGTTTTCCTTTTAATCTTCAAACTTCTCTCATTCCTCTCACCCTTTATCCAGGCCATTCTTATCGTAAAAGTTAACATTCCGCAGAAATACTGTCAGTCTTCATTTCCATCTTTATTATTATAACTTATCGACAAGTCACATCTATATTTTACTGTAATTTATTTTAATCCAGATGTATCACGTCTTAATCTGAACTTGATGATACTTTGCTAAAGTAAGAGACTGCATGTGGAGACAAATCTTGAAACATGAAAGATAGTCTTACTTACATTTATTACTAGTAAGGCATGAAAATACCATGACATTCAAAGAGTGGTAATAGTAAAAAATAACTTTAAAACTACGAGAAAACGAACTTGAAGAGATAAAATAGAAAACTAGAAAATCTCAAAAGTTATAATACGAAGGAAATTTTAAAAACTAAAATCCGTAGTGATGATCACGTGGCTTTATTAAGAAATAAAATACACAAAAATAAAAAGTAAAAATGAAGAACCGTCTCTCTACTCCAATGCTGGGTCACACGATTCTCTCTGACTTGACCTGACCTTTCGGGACTTTTATGAACAACCCCACCGAGCAAGCATGCACAACCGAGGCAAATATCACGTCAGAAAAGGTCAAGGCTATATTCTTAGTAGTAGAGGGCGGTATCTTCTCCCCCTGTTAAGGTCCCAGGATTTATACTTAAAAAGACTTGCTCGTCTACAGTTTAGCAATAGAAAGGAATTGAAAAATCTTAAAACGATATAGTGGATGTAATAAAAGAAAAGTTTCTTAGGCACATGCGAATGAGCAATCATAGGCTCCTCCCCTGGTATTGGGGGCCGCAAGTGCACCTCCCAAGCTCTTGTTCCTGCACCTCTTCAGCTCTGGCTACTGGGGCCTCTTCTATCACGTCCATGGGCTCAGACCTGCCTCCTCCTTCCCTATGCTCGGGGACCAGTCGATACTTTTTTCGTAAAGTACACCTTTCGCATCAGGGTTGAGACAATGTAGGCAGCTTGCTTTTTCCCATGCATGTATCGTTCAGCTGTATTAGGAATAAACATTTATTCTGATCAGTAATGTCTTCATAGCTGATATTAATCATAGCAGGTAACTATCAACACAAGATCTCATAGCCTTACCCTATATAATTCAACGTCACTCCCTAACTCCGTACATTTAGACCATTAAAAAAGGAAAGAAAACAGGTAACCCCTACGATCTGGATGACGTGCCCATCACATCATGAAAAATAATTTGGCCTGAGGGGCGGGTGACGTGAACAAGCCGCCATGAGAACCTCTGGCTGCGGGTCGAGGGGACGAGAAAGACTCGCCACGAATGCACTAAGCTTTTGCAGGGCGATTAGGCTGGCATTTAGGAAGGGCTTTTGCATTATTATCATTGATAAACGAGAGTGGAATGTACTGCCCGTGGGCTATGACTGGGCACCATGACCAGCGGCGCAGGTTGTGTTACACAAGATTGAATATTACAAACAAGACAACAAAATGCTACTTATTGTTACCATCACTGTACTGAGTTATGGACTACCTTATGAGATATGGAGTCTATGAAAGGAAAACAGTCTATAGCCATCTGCATTAAGCAAATCAAATGACAAAGACATTGGAAAATGGCAAAATGGGAGGGGGAGGCATGGAGTCTCCTTTCCTGCCCCCGGCAAAGTGGCCGCTTATTTACGGCAAACCTCCACACGAACTGTAAAATACTAAGAGCAAAAGTCTTCTTTGATTTTATTAGATATTCCACTGCAAAGGTACTACAGAAGAACATAGATGGCATGTTAAAATTCTAGTCTAGGGAGAAGAAGACATCCACAAATTAAAAGGGGCGAAAAACAACACGGAAAATGACCCCCCTCCCCCCCCCCCCAAAAAAAAAAGAGAAAAAAAGAGAGAAAATATCTAAAAGCAAAGGATGTTCAAAAACGGTGAAGCCACAAAAAGAGCAAAACCAAAAGTAAAAGCAAATACGCATCTTCACCTGGGCAATAGGACTCGAAGTTCAGCATCAAGTTACGGTTCACGCTGGTCATCATGGAGAGTAAGTCCTCGCGCTCACTGTATTGGTTCAACACTTTCACCAGCGACTGAATGAACCACGAGCCATTGGCGGGGTTACGCCAAGAGAAGTGACCTGACAGAAGAAAGGGTCAGATGAAACGCCAAGTGTGAGTAGAATTTTGAAAATCGTGATTAAAAAAAAAACTACAAGAATATGAATATAACTACCGATCAGTCTAATTCTCTCTACATACATACACGTCCTAAAGCTATATACATGCATATACAAATATATTTATATATAAGCATATGCATATCCATACATATAAAAACACACACATAAACGCACGCGCACGCAAACGTATGCATACACAAACACACATATAGACGCACGCGCACGCAAACGTATACATACACAAACACACATAAACGCACGCGCACGCAAACGTATACATACACAAACACACACATAAACGCACGCGCACGCAAATTACACATAAACGCACGCGCACGCAAACGTATACATACACAAACACACATACCAGGTATGGTGGACCAGCACTCCAGGAAGTCGGCCGAGTTGGGGATCTTATAACAGGACTGGGAGCAGGAGTCAGTCTCGTCCTGCTGGAGGATCGTGCCCGCGTCCAATGTCGTACCACGGCAAGCCTTTGGGTGGGGGGGGGGGAGATGAAGAGCTGGGTGGATGGATGTTTACATATATATACATATATATAAACATACATATACATATGCATATGTATACACACGCAAATATATATATATATTCATATATATATGTATATGCGAATGCATATATATACATGTATATACATGTATACACACACACACACACACATATATACGGGGGTGTTAGAATCTAGTTTTTGTTAAGGTGGCGAGTTCGCCTCTCTCATTCTCAACTCCTGTGCAAGATGATGGACAGTTAATGTACGTGACATACAGGGTATTTTTTTAAATCTTAAAAAAACTTAAGTTATCACTACTATGTACATGTTTACAATTACTCTTTGCATCAAGAACTAGTTTCCTGACGGTTTTCCACGTCGCAATAATATAATTTCTTTTGGTCTGTAAATTCTGCTCTGGAGCATTATTTTTTGCCTTTGTCAGTAAGTAAATTAAGTCGTTTCTTCTCCTCTTTGCAACTGTTATGCAAGGCAGATTGAACCTATTACTCTTCAAACATTTTCTAAGCTAATACTTGGAAGGAGCCACGTTTCTGTGATGCATGGAATATCAACGTCTTTCTCTGACTGTATTTCTATTTCCTCCTCACGATGAAGGAGTGACTGGACATTTATATATACATATGAGTTCCTTATTATGTGCAGGTTTACCATCGGCACCGTCTTCTTGGCCAAATTCCTATTCACTATAATAATTACAGAATCTACTTTTGTGACCACACAATTGGCAGGATGCACATCTGACTTTATAGTCATATGTGCAATTAGATTGTCTGGTTGAACTCCCCAGTTAAAGCCTCCGTGGCGATGGCTGTTTGACTGATGACTCCTAAACTCCCGCGACTGTTTATTGGCCCTAAAGTTAACATTTGATACGTTATGACGATGCTCTCTCATTAAACCAGTTTCCTCTGCTCATTTCATCCCTCATGTTCGTGCACAGACCATGCCTCCTTCTGTTTTCAGGTGTCAGGAGTCATGCGAGACGTCTCGGTTAATATAACAATAGAGGGTATTTTGAGAAGGCATTTGATTTCTCTTTGCGTGATTCCAGTTATCAGCTTATCGAAAATATTTGCACTGCTGCATTATTCGGATCCCATTATTTGTACTCCATTTTTTAAATTTGACGTTGAGTTTGTTGATTTTATCAGGAAGTTCGTATAAACTCAGAGTTGGTACTAGCTCACACACAAATGTTTCCATTCCCTCCTTTCTTTTTCTTCAATTCCAAAATTAATGATCCTGATTTATCCACGATGACAGCAGGACTTCCGCCATCTATCTTTTCGTGGATCCCACATGAAACGATGCCTTTTGCGGGAGTCCAATCCAGCTTTTTCGTTGACCCAGCATCTCAGGTCCATGGCTGCTCCCTGGATGGTTCTGATGGAGGAGTCTTTCCCAAGATCCGATGGCCTGACGTCGCTAAGATTCGTATCGCCGAGGAGCGGGGTCTTCTCAGGGGCTGGCAGGGGGGACTGAGGTAATCCGGTCCTAGCAGCGGCAGTGATTCGTCCTCAGTCAATGATCTGCTCTTCCAAAGTTGACACACGATCGTTTAGTCTGTTAATGGTCACGTAAGCACTTTGGATCATGTTGTTTAGCTCTTCTATTTCAAAATCTTCTTTGACGACTTTCTCTCTGAGCTCTTGAAGTTCAAGCTGAGGGATTTGCAGCGGGTCGATTCCTCTGCTCGCGGATCACTAGCTGACTGTTGAGCATCCAGTATCCTATCAACTAGTCTGTCCTTCGCCACCCAAATCTTCGTTAAGCCCATGTTGCGACAGTGTTTTTAAAGTTTCAATTTAGTGAAATTATGGAGCAGATAGTCTCACGTTTTCCAAAGATGGAGAAATTTTACCAGCGTTCAATTCCTGTTCATTGTTCGTCTCCTTTATTTCTGCAGCCGGGCTCCCCTCACAGCCCGGGCGAGGCTCAGCTTCGCATACCGGACTTATTTCTGCAGTGTGCGTTTTCCTCGTCTATTTTTCATTGGCATACGCTCGAGAACGACTGCGCATTTTCAAACAAAATGAACAGAGGTCTTCCTTATTCATGAATTCACGTTTTTAGTCACTTCAGCATATCTATGTAGGTGAGTGAATGAGTTAGTGATAGAATTGTTGAAAGAGAAAGAGAGAGAAGGGGGGAGGGAGAGGGAGGGAAGAAGAGAGGGAGAGATTCCTCAAAGCTAGCTCGTGCAAATAGTAAGACGGACTGCAGTCGCCCCCACCTTCTCCCACCCTATCCCCCTGCCCCCAACCCTCCTCCCGGCTCCCCTGCCCCCAGCCCTCCCTCCGGCAGCCCTCCCCCCTCCCTTCTCCCCCCGAAGGCCTCACCTGGATGAAGAAGAGCTTCGGCTTGCCAGCGAGGGTAGGGCACCGGTTAGCTTTGAAATTTCCAAACAGGTAATCGGAGTTAAACGTGCCATCACGGCCCCAGAGAACATCCTTCTCCCCGTGCGACATGAACACCACGGCCAGCGCATCGCATTCCGAGTGGTCTTCGAGAGCGACTATCGGGGCAGGAAAGAAAGGCCAAAGCAAAAAAAAAATAATAATAATAAGTAAAAAGTAAAGGTGTAGGAGAGAATGAAGCAGAGAGATAAAAAATGAGATCTGAATAAAGACTTGTTAGTTCTGTTTTTACTTTCTTTTTTTATAATTTACTCATCAAAATCATTCAGGGGTAAAATCTCATCAGCTGGGATATGCTCAAAGTCTCCTCTCTCGTCAAAATAAGAAAAATCCTTATTATAAATGTCTCTTCCTACCACTCTATTGAAACATTATCGGAATCATTTCCACATCACTTCCATATTAAATCACTCCATTCTTGTTTTTCAGAGGGAAAATAACATTCAATGCATCTAACAACAGCTTAGTTACAATGACGGTACACTGCTGTATGATGACGTACTAGTAGCATGCAGCAGCAATGTCAAAGGAACTATTTGTTCTGGAGTAAAAACCTATTTCTAATAGCAAAAGGTCATACATATAAATACATGCATTTGTGTGTACGTGTGTGTGTACGTGTGTGTGTGTGTGTGTGTGTGTGTGTGTGTGTGTGTGTGTATGTGTGCGTGTGTGTGTGTGAGAGTGTACGTGTTTGTGTCCACTTTCCATCTGTCTTCTAAAACTGTGAGAAAAAATTAACTTTGTGTGAAAGATGTAATCTGAGGAAATAAATTAGTTTGTTTCCTGAGTTATAATTTATACAGTACCTTATTTTGACACATAGATCGAGACTCAGAGACTCGCGAATCCCGACTTATGAAATCTGCGAGCCCAGTCACAGCGATAACCCTACAGTCTTAGATCCTCGTGAAGCTAAGTCCCAAAGACTCTCGAACCCAGTACCAAAGACCCACAGTCCTTACATTCTTGGCCTTCAAACGAGCTTCTTGGATACTTACGGGCCTTGAGTTTCACCTTGACCTCTTCCACAGTGAGGTTGTTGTAGACAGTCACTTGAAACCCCAAGTTTGTAAAGAGTGCCTTTGCCTGGTCACGGTCACGGTCTGTGCCATTCCTCTCCTGGAATGGGGTCAAGAGTCATTTAATTACTTAAGAAATGAATCACAATGTAAAAACAAAAATCAATACATGATAATAGAAATATAGGAATGAACAATCTGCGCAAGCACTAATAACATCTTCCACCCCAAAGACCCTGCTCTGTGCTCTCACCCCAAGGCCTGTGTGCTGGTCGAAGTGGCGGTGGTTGAAGATGACGCAGTGGCCACGCTGCTTGTGGCTCATGTTGTAGCACACCGCATTACGGTCTACTGACATTCGCGCAAAGCCTTGAGGCATGCCACCCACACTCCTGGGAAGTGAACAAAAAGTATGAAATGCAACATAGATTTCTTCATTTGTGTAAACTGTAGAATTTGACTAACAAAATTTAACGTTTTCTTGAGGTCTCACTAACGCAACTGGAAAAAGATGGTAATAATTGTTAATGATGGTAAGACATGATGATGAGGAGGACAGAATATGGATAAAGATTATAATAGTGATAAAGACAACAGTAGTACTAATAGTAATGATAATGACGTTAACATCAATAAAATAATATCATCTTTATTATAACATAATTATCATCACAACAAACATGACACAGCCAACATTAACCAGTGGCGGATCTAGAACTATTCTGAAGTGAGGTCAGTAGATAAAGGGGAGGCGCTTATAAACCTTCGGTAACAGATTGATATTGTACCATCACTATGTTGCGGTAGGAAATCGATTTAGTTTACGCCGTAGGTCATGCTCACTTTGGGTGGGTTGAAAATCGTTTATGGAAAGTTTTAGACATAATACTTTATATACGCTGCCACTACCTCGACAGAGAAAGATTGTCATTGTCATTCTATGTTTATTTGTATTATAATGATTTGACAGAGAGAATGATAATTGACGATTATATGTTTCGTTTTTGGATAAGGTTCTTCCGTCAGTATATCAAGTGTCATTTCATAGAAAAGGGGCGCCGCACTTCCAACTTGGGCGCCAGACCAATTACAAAGTAGCGAGGGGGGGGGACTGCCTCTAGTTGCCCCCCCCCCCCCATTCCGCCCCTGACATTAACAAGAGAACCGGCCATAATCAGCTGATCACTCACGTCTGGCCAAGTCCCCCGGCGTCGGTCTCACTGCTGCCGCTGTCGCCCACTTGGCCGTTGGTTTCCCTTGGCTCCTCGTGCTGGCTCCCTCTGCTGATGGTCTCCTCCATTGCAGCTTCTCCTTGCTGTCTGTGAAAATGAAAATGAAAAACGTTGTAGGAAAACCGATGTCCGAGAAGTCATTTGTACCTGCTTTCTACAATCTGCACATCTGAACGGTCTTCAAACTTGTACAATTTAGCGCAAAATTACCTTTTGTGCCAGTACTTTTCTCCAAAAGATCTACCAAAATATAATTACACTCATAATTGGCTAAATCTAAGCATGCAGAGCTTTTCAAATCATTATCAAAATAACAAAAGAATAACAATTTTCGCCAGTCTGATTCCATAAGCAGACTCGGGTAGAGAACATCCCCTTCCTCGCGCCCCTGGCGACTGTCCGGCAAACTAGATCCTAATAATAACACATATTTACAATAATAATAATAATAATAAAATAATAATAATAATCCCAACACCTTTGCATACAAGAATTCAAAGAATTCGCAAAAGCCAGAATGCATAACACTTGAGG